ACAGACGGACAGACAGACTTCCGGATTTCAACTCTACTCGTCACCCTGATCACTTTGGTATATATAACCCTATATCTGACTCTTTTAGTTTTAGGACTTACAAACAACCATTATGTGAACAAAACTATAATACTCTCTTTAGCAAATTTGTTGCGAGAGTATAAAAAAGTTTCATTAAATTTTGTGAGCGGAATCAAATTTCTGTTGCCTAAACGTTAAGAATATTGGAAAAGGTCTACAGTGATAATTGTTTTTTGTGAGCAAGTATTTTTGACTGGTACAAATTATTCAATAAGTGTCGAGAACGCTATGACGACGAACCTCGTCCAAGACAGCCATCAACTTCAACTGATGATCAACATATCAATAAAATAAAGGAATTGGTGCTTGATAATCGACGATTAACAGCAGAGTCTGCTAATGGCGATTTTGGAATATCGGAAGGATCAGTGACCACCATTTTGAAAGATCATTTGGGCCTAAGAAACGTGAAAGCATGATTGGTTTCAAAATCAATAAATTTTCTCGAAAAACAGCACTGCATTCTGTTTAGGGAACAATGCTTACCGACTACCAGAATGTCCTTAAACGTAATATTACTGGCGATGAGTCTTGGATCTAAGCTTACGACCCGCAAAATAGACGATCAATCGGCCGACTATCATCGCGAAAGTGAGCCGAAGTCGGAAAACCACTTTAAAGGTAGTTTAAAAATCAAGGTTATGTTGATAGTTTTAGTATTCTTCGATTATCGAGGTGTGATTCCTCCAAATTCCTTCCAATCGACCAAACTGCCAACAAGGAATACTATTTAAGAGCGAAGCTATTCGTAAGACGAGACCAAAATTAGAGTCGACAACTCTTGGTATTTGCACCACGATTATGCACGTTCGCATATTGCATTGATTCTTCGTGAGTTTTTCGGTAAATTTTTAACCAATATCGTGCCGATGATTTAGCTCCGATTGACTCCTGGCTATTCAGCAAACTCGGTACAAACCGTTTTGGGTCAATTGAACACATCGAGGATGGGAAAAAACGTGAGCACAAACAAGTGTATTGGGACCAAGGGGAATTACTTTGGGGGACGACATAGATTATGAAGAATAAATTAAGAATTTTAAAATTATGAACAAGGTCTTAGTATTTTTTGCTCATAAGAGTATATGAATGATCAGGATGACGAGAGGAGTTGAATCCGGGTGACAGCCTGTCCGTCCATTCATCCGCGCAAGCTTGAATTTAAATTAAAAATGAGTTGAGCTTAATCGGCGACCACAAAACCTTGATAATTGAAAGCTTTTAACTTTTAATCGCCAACTCCAGATTGATATACAAAATTGCTAATTAGGTCAACATCGAGGATGCACCTGGAACATTAAATTTTATAACCGGATGGTACAAGAGGGCTTTATCGGAGCCGGTGTGAACACAAGGGTATCTAAAAAACAAAAAAATTCAAAAGCAGACCATAAGTTATCAAGGCCACACACCGAAGATGTGGACTCCAATGCGTACATATAGCTAAACTTTTGCCGAAAATATCGACATATATAATTGAAATTTGTGGAAAATCCATTCCTGATAACAGTATATATGTGTATCAGCAGTGGATTGAATCAATACTACACTTAGGCCCCATACACCTAAAACAAATATATATATCTGGCTGATTTACTACCACATAGTATATGTATCGACTTAGTCCTTCCTTACTTGTTATACTTGATATTTATTTGTTATGATTTTCTGATTTTCACATGCTTAATGGAAAAGCATTACAAAGAATATTGTTAATTGAACTTAGCTACTTATATAAATTACTGGGCAGCGAAATTTTTATTCATTGAAGTTACTCTTCAATCTGTTAACCATAGTAAATAGATGTACATACATAAAAAAACCGAACGCCTTTATTTAGCTGAAGTTAATTAGGATTGCTGATCAAAATACCGATTACAACCCTTTCTTACACCTTTTGACCGGTTTGCAAACACAACACTGGTTCTCTATAAAATACAAAAGCTATACAAGAATTGTTTGTATGTCATGTGTCAAGTTGAAATGTCAAGTACATAAAAACATGCTACACATTTTCCCATTTTATTCGGGATTTTCACATGACCATATGCCGAAATGACGCGTTTCCACAATACGACTTCGCCTTCGAAAGGCCATAAAACCACATAAATGGAGGAAGTTTAATAGCTATTTAAAAGTCGTAAAGTTCCTTGTTGCCGATTGGACAATTGAAAGTTGTAAAGCGAAAAAAATTAAAACAAAAATCTTATTAACAACTACACAGAGGTTAATGCTATGGAAATATTTACAACATTAAAATAACGCTGAGAAAATTAACTACTTTTATTGTGAGGCTTCATTAAAACAAGGTAAGCAAATATTCTCCGCAATTACTGAAATATTATTTTAGATCGTTTTTGAAGAAATTAGAATACGAATGTGCATTTGTTAACTTTGTGTCATTTTCGGTGCTTTTAATTTGCAAATTTTTACTGTCCGTGATATAAATATATGAGTATATTTGAAATAATAATCAGATCCATGGATTTTACTCTTCAGCCGAGTTAGTTATTAAACACTTATCGTGGAAGAAATGCCATATGCAACAGTTCAAATTACTAAGTTGCATAAATAATGATTAATTTTTCAAAATTAACTTAATATAAAAATATGTATGTACTTACAAAAAATGTAACAGTTCAAGCTGCTGCAAAGAGCAAAAGAAAAACATTAGTATAGTATATTAAGAAATATATATATGTATGTATCTATGTAAGTATATATGCATGTATCAAATAGTCGGTTGTCATAGCGGTCATTGACACCGAAATACATTTGCTAGACCAAGTGAGGCCTCTGCATGGATAATGCACAGAATATATACCAAAAAGCAGAAGCACCGCATCTGAGCTTCAGGCTTTAGAAAGCTCTTGTTTAAAGCTTTCCCACAGGGTGTGTAGGAGCGTGCATAAACACGGAGTTGTGTTTGTGTTTGTGGTTAACTTGTCGAATTGAAAAACTTCTTTTGCGGTTAACATATTGTATTCATTAGTAAGGCAAGTGAGGGACAAGTCCATATTTTACCGCATTACTTTACAAACCACAAATTCTTAATTTTGAATATTCCACTAAATGTGGTATCATACATTTTGTTACGAACTTTAAGGTTGCACATATCCAAAAAGTATTTATCATCAGCATTCCAAAATTTTTTTCATATTCATGAACAAAACAGACTCTAGGCACAGACATAGCCTGTCTTAGTCTTATGAAGATCATTCTGTGTAATCATTCTATGGGTAGACGCAGTAAGATATAACAAATGAGGAGAAATATTTGGGTCTCTCTTCGGATCTTACGGATTCCAATTTACGGTGAAAGTAACATGTGGATCTGACCATGGTCGAAGTCACAAAGGCTGGTAAATCCTGGGGGTGTAAGCCAAAGATTAGCAGATGGATGAACCCCGTGAATTCCAGATTTCAGTAGGGGTTCAACTATCGAAACTGCAAAGACTGCGTCTATACAGTGGGTGCAATGCGTACGTGCCCGAGGACAGCACTAGAGGTCATGCTGGAATGCACACCGCTACTCCACCTAGTAATGAATGAAACCCCGAGGGATAGCATTAAAAATTGGGTAGAAGGAAAAAAAAGAAGTTAAAACCTACCCTCTGCAAAGAGTCTGAATGGACTAATTAAACGCATGAACCACTGCTAATCGGAGGTACTCTGACCGCTCGAAAATGTTGAAAAGCATTAGTGCTGGTGTCGCAGGACCGCGTACCAAATCTTCCATACCTATGGGACGTTTTCCGGTCATTTTCCAAGCATAAGTCTTTGCTAAAGTTAGTTTTGTGGAGTTACGCCTCTAACGCAACTAACGCAATCTGAGTCTACGAAATTAAATCGCAATTGCTCTATAACTTATCAGTTCCAAACAAGTTGACCTCATTTGGGCGTAGCCGGTAATGAACTTCACGAGATTGCCCGCAGCTTTTACATTGGGCACTATATTCTTAAAAAGCAACTATTTAACATGGGTTGCCGGTTTTTGCGACATGGATCTGGAAACTCCTAAACTCCTGATTCCAGCTGTGAGAAGGACCCTTCTACGCTTGGAATCTCCAATTGGCGCCGAAAAATGAAAAGGAAGAACGACTAGCTCGTTATCGTAAGCAATGACAATCAATGCTCAGCCATGCTGCACGAAATGTTGTTGGGAACAACAACAATGACCTAGGCCAGCACCAACTATCCCATATATGCACTGTGCATGCAATAATAAAAGCAACATTAACAGTTCAAAACTGACTGCAACGGCGTTAGTGCTGACTTCCGTTGGAGTTGCAAGGCAAGCGGCAACCAGACAATTGAGGCGAGCGTGGCACCAGCCGACAAGGTAATGAAAGCAAAACGAAGTAAGTCCATTGCTAGATCAGCAGAGTGAAGAAGACGCCGTGCAGACGCTTCAGGGAACGCATGTACAGACATAGAAATAGAGAGCAATGCAGACGGCGCACTGACAGTCTGGCTGTCAAGCAGTCATCCAGGCAAATGCTTCGTGGGGGCAATAATATAGCAAAAGCTTAGGCAATAACCGAGCAATGTGCAACCCAACGTGGAGGGACAACATTGTTGCGCTCGTTGTTTATGTGGCAGATGACGGTGCTGCTGATGACGATGGTTTTTGCTGCTGTGGCTGCTGCTGCTGTTGTTGTCATTGCAATGCAACAATTTAGAACTGGTTTCGGTGAAATGTTTATTACCGATATTGTTATTGTTGTTGTTGCGGTACGAATAGTTGCTTACTATATTATTGTGATCTTTGCTTCATGCTCAACGGATGCAGTTGTTGTAGACATTGTCGGCATCGATTGTTGCACCCATAAAATTATTAAAAGCTGCGAATACTAAAGGCAAAATATAACAAATGTCATGCATATAAACGCAAATAAAATAAAAACCGAACATAAACGCAAACACAAAAAGGAGCAAATTCAACCTGTCTCCGCAGCACTTTGTCGGGAATTTCTTCGGATGCAAATAAATTAATATGTAATTGTGTAGGTAGGCGAATATACGGCAAATGGCAATAGCTACATGTGGCAGCGAATCCCTGAAAAGCAAATATAAGTAAACAAGAACAAAAATGGAGAACCAATGGCGGAGTAGCAGCAGCGTTGGAGCAATAATTGTGCTGAGCGTAAAAGCAGAGTGGCGCATCGGCACACACAAACAGCACGGACCATTGGGTGCGCAGAAGCACCGAGAGAGTGGCAGTGAGGTGGCAAAATAAAAACTATGAATGGAATTTGTTTTTTTTTCTACCTCTGCCCACTATGTGTTGTTGCCTTGAGGTTTTTTTTATTTTGTTAGGAAGCTGTCGAACAACTTTAAAAAGCGCCAGAAGACATTGTATGTTGCCATTTCGTGAGAAATTGTATTCGAGCTGCAGAATGTTTTAAAGTAGCGTAGGTTTCTTGGCAAAATCCATTACGAAATCATTCACTCCTTAAACATTAAAGGATGTGTTTTGCGCGCTTCGCTCAACTTATGGTCAACCCAATCGGCCTACTGAGCCTACTATTTGCAACACCATCACTCATCTTAGGACCTTGGGACTTCATTATTTCATAATTTTCTGCCGACTACATCACGTTCAGCACGAAGTGATGAAAATATTGCAGCCGTAGCTGAGGAGTGCGCACGCAGACCGTGGAGAGTCGATTTGGCGACGTTCGCAGCAACTCGGATTGACGAATGGAATGACTTGGCGCATTTTACGTCGAGATCTTTAATTGAAAGCGTACAAAATACAGCTTGTGGAAGAACTGAAGTCCCTTCTCCTTCCCAAACGACATTACGGCGCTTTATGGGCTTTTGAAATGTTGCAAGAAGATTCGAGGTTTTCGAGCCAAATTTTGTTCAGCAATGAGGCCCATTTCTGGCTCAATGGGTATATAAACAAGCAAAATTGCCGCATTTGGGACGAAGAGCAACCTGAAGAGATTCAAAAGCTGCTATTTCATTCAGAAAAAATAACGGCTTGGTGTGATTTGTGGGTCGGTGGAATCATCGGTCCATGTTTCTTCAAAATTGAGATCGGCGAGAACATAAACGTCAATGGCGACCGTTATTGCGCCATGATAACCGACTATTTGATGGATGAAATTAAAGCTCGTGATCATGTGATATCACACCGTTAGACATTTTCCTGTGGAGATATGTAAAGTTTAAAGTCTATGCGCACAGTCCCGCTTTGATTCAGGCCTTGGAACAAAACATCACGCGTGTCATTCGCCAGTTACCAGTCGAAATGTTCGATCATAAAAAAAATAGATTCAAAAGAATGTTCTTTCGAATGATAATAAATATTCCCCATTAAATTTGAAGATTCTGTGATTTTTTCTTAAAAAAAAAACAAATAGGGGAACACCCTTTAGACCTTGGGCAGGGCGGTCCGTCATATTCGATCATGATTTTTTTTGAAGCAACGTTTTCAAAATCGGTGGTCACGATTTCTCAGAAACTAGTGAAGCAATATTATTATATTAAAATTCCCTTGATTAAACGAAGGCTTTTTTTCGCTTACAACTGATTTGTAGTAAAAATTACGTTTTGTTGCAACTTTGCCAAAAATTAATATTTTCCAAATCATTCAATCGAGCGACCTATACTCAGCTACTAACCGATGAAATTTCATGTTTTGATTTTAGATAAATCATTCGTCTGTTATGCTGACCACCGCGAGAAGATGTTTTTGGGCGGTGCCTGTGGAAACCACCGGCCACTGGCTGAATTTTGAAAAAAAAAAATGATAAAAAGTTCTCAAAATATTACTCAAATGTTGCGCAAAATTGGTAATGAATTAATTCATTTATTACATGAAAGCCTTAAATGACTACATCAAATCTGTAGTATATTAGAACAAAACTGACATATCGTTTTAACCTCCGATATATTTTCTTATTGTATAAATTAATAATTTTCCAAAGGCTGGAATATTAACGAAAATCCTTTGAAAATTTAACTTTATTTACAAAAAGTCTGGCAACCTCAAACCGTCATTGCAGAAACTCTCTCTCTCATCTGTTGCTCACTGTCACATACACCACTGGTATATGTATGATAAAATGCACCGGCAGTTTTGTCTGTTAATTACGAGAGAATTACCAACAACAATATGATAGTTCAAAGCACACAATTGCACATCAAATTGTGTTTTTTGTGTTCACTTCGCACCGGTACGAAGATGCACCTATTGTTGTTGTGGCTGCAATGGGGTGCCCACAATGGCGGTTGCGTTACAAGTGCATGTGGTAAATAGGCGAAACTGGATTATGTTTAAGAAAAAGTTATATGCATAACTCCAAGCTGAGGAAATTTGCATATTTGTTGTAATCTTAAATGCGCCGATGTAATATTTTTTGTCTATTTAAAAATTGTGTTATGTGTTTATCTGTGTTCGATATTCAAGCATACAAGAATGCGTGTGCTATTAAGGCGTGAGTTGTAGTGGCTCTTCAGCGTACTTCGCGATGTTCGGCTAATGTCCTCCTTCATCCACGCGCTGTCGTTGCGTTTCTCGTTTACTTTCTCAGCGCACTTTTTCCACTCTCATTGCAATATATGATTACTGCAATTTTTGTTGTTTCACAGTAGACGGCTGCTGCAATTGTTGCTGTGCATAAGTTGCGTACGCGTC